ATTTTTAGTAGAGACGGTGTTTCACCATGTTGGTCAGGCTGGTCTCAAACTCTTGACCTCAGGTGATCCAGCCTCCTCGGCCTCCCAAAGTGCTGGGATTACAGGTGTGAACCACTGCGCCCGGCTTCTGTAATGGTTTTGATGATAACAGTGATGATGGGAGCCAACATTTATTAAGTCTTTTTATGTGCTAGAGACTGTGCTAAAAAGCTTTACCTATATTTTCCTTTTAAATCTCCACAACCACCTCTTGTGGTAACTACTGGCATTAACCCACTTTAGAAATTAGAAAACCGAGGCCTGGAAGGCTTAAGACATGCACTCAATGCCTCAGTGGCCCTAAGCTTCCAGGTAAGTGCTCAGACTAAGGAGTAGCGGATTTCATACTGAATTTCTTCCCATCGCCCCTTGGTGCTTAATCACTGTTCAGATAAAGGTACCCCAGGGAGAGGAGAGACTGAAGGGAATTAACATCTCTAGGGCATCTCCAATGTGCCAGGCACTACCTGATCAAATTTTATCTTCACAACAGCCCTGAAAGGTTGGCATTTATTGTTCCTTTTATTTGGAATGGAAAACAGGGACTCAGGGAAGTGAAGGGTCTTTCCTAAGGTCACGGTGCAATTAAGTGAAAAAACAAGGATATGAAGCAGCTTCCAGCTGGGTACAGTGACTGACGCCTGTAATCCCAGCACTTTGGGAGGCTGAGACGGGTGGGTCACTTGAGTCCAGGAGCTCCAGACCAGCCTGGGTAACATGATGAAACCCTGTCTCTCCCAAAATTACAAAACTTAGCCGGGTATGATGGTGTGTGCCTGTAGTCCTAGCTACTAGGGAGGCTGAGGTGGGAGGATTGCTTGTGTATGGGAAGTCCAGGCTGCAATGAGCCATAATCGCGCCACTGCACTCCAGCCTGAGTCACAGAGCAAGACCCTGTCTCAAAAATATATATATATATATATAGAGAGAGAGAGAGAGAGAGAGAGAGAAATTTAAAAAGGAGCAGCTTCTAATCCCTTGCCCAGCTTTAAAGAAGGTAGCTGCTCAGGTTGGTTCCTCGCTCTCCTGAGGCACCTATGGAACCCACAGCCACCTCCCATCTCCCTCACATAATCAGGACTTAAAACCTCCAGCGTCTCTAAGTGGGCACCCACCCAGTTTACAGAATCTAACCCATTTTCAAGTCTGAGCAACGCCCATGTCGTCCAGTGGCACTTAGTGTTCATGTCTGGTACTGCATCCCAGGTTTTGTAGATTTTTGAATACCAATTTAATGTTCATTCATTATGTCAATAATTAGTGAACACTTGCTGTGTGGCAAGCCTGGGGAGTCCAGAGATGAGCAAGACATGGTCCCTGGCCTCAGGAAATCCACATCCTTAAAGAAGATGGAGAAGTATATTAGGACAATAGGTGGGAGAGGAGACAATTGAGACCTGCAACCCCTGGCTGGGACATCTGGGAAGTCTCCCCAGCAGAGGTGGCACTTGCGTTGAGTCTAGACCGATGAGTAGGGCACTGCAAGACAAGTGAGGAAAGGGTATTTCAGACAGGGGCAACAGTGCTTGCAAAAACTCAGCGTGTCCGTGGAAGATAGACTTGCTAGATAAAATACAAGACACATGATTACATTTGAATTTTTTAAAAATAAATGTTTTAGTACAAATGTGTCCCAAATATTGCATGGGGCATACTTACACGAAAACGTATTTGTTGTTCATCTGAAATTTAAATTTGACTGAGCAGCATCCTATATTTGTGTTTGCTAAATCTGGCAGCTCTACCAAGGAATGGGGAAAGAGTTAGGGATAGCAGGAACCTAGGAAACATTAGGGATGTCACAGGAGAGACTGGAAAATGGCGGGTCATGAAGGGTCTGGAATGCCAGGCTAAGGAGTCAGCCTTCACCCTGTGAGCACTGGAGAAGGATTTTGTGTGAGGGACCCTGGGCTTGGTACAGGGGAACAAAAACAAGCCCTCCCTCGTGGGCTCATAGTCAAGGGGGCGAGAGGAGCCTCAGCCCAAAGTTGAGGGGGCGTAGCAGAAACCCCCTCCTGTGGCACCCACAGAAAGTGCTCTGGGACTCAGAGAAGGAAGAGGTACATCTGGCTGGGACGTCAAGGAGGCTTCCTGGAGGAGGAGGCAGATGATCTGGCTCAGCAAAAGAAACCCTCTCTGCTTCTGCCCCACCAAGCTATCCCTGCCATCCCCTGTTATCGGGGTGGTAGAGACACATCTTCAGGTCGCCCCCTTCATATCCCCTATATCCCAAGCTTTTTCTCACCTCCTTTCCTCTGAACCTGCTGCCCCTTCTGCCAGGCATGCACATCTTCGCCTGGGTGGTTCCTGTTTGTTCTTTGAGATCCCATTCCAGTGCCCCCCACTCATGAAGGAGCTTTCCTGACTTCACCTGGTAGCCCCTGATATGGTTTGGCTGTATCCCCACCCACATCTTATCTTGAATTGTAGTTCCCATAATCCCCACCTGTTGTGGGAGGGACCTGGTAGGAGGTAATTGAATCATGGGGGCAGTTACCCCCATGCTGTTCTCATGATAGTGAGTGAGTTCTCACAAAATTGGATGGATTTATAAGGGGCGTTTCCCCCTTTGCTTGGCACTCCTCTCTCCTGCCACCATGTGAAGAAGTACATGTTTGCTTCTTCTTCTGCCATGGTTGTAAGTTTCCTGAGGCCTCCCCAGACATAAGGAACTGTGGGTCAATTAAACCTCTTTCCTTTATAAATTACCTAGTTTTGGGTATGTCCTTATAGCATCATGAGAAGGGACTAACGCAGCCCCCATCCTAGACCAGGTCACATGCCCCACAGCATGTGCTTACCCTATCAGTGTGAGCCTGTTATGCCTATTGATTCATTTAGTCCTCTGAACAAACTCTGAGGTAGCTACTGTTACTATCCGCCTTTTACAGATGAAGATACAGAGAAGTTAAGGAACTTGCCCAAGGTCACAGAGGTAATATAGAGTGGAGCCAGGATTTGAACCCAAGAAGTCTGGCTCCAGCTCGTGATCTTAACTTCCATGCTATAAAGCCTGTAATAACATTGCACACACTGAATCTGCATTGTTTTGGGAAGGTTTTCAAGGGCTCCGTGCACTGCATGATGTGTATGTGACTGGCATGTACAACTAGGTGTGCCTTCTTCTGGATAAGGGTTCACAGATTTTCATCACAAAAAAATTTCTCAGAGAGCTTCATGATCTTCAAAGGGTTGGGATTCTCACACTGCTCACTTTTCCAGACTGAGCTCTCCAAGGCCAGGACCTGTGCCTTAGCCCCCTTTAGAAATCCAGTACCAGCCTAGTGCAAAGAGGATATTTGGGGAAGTTTTGCCAGGTGGCTGGCAGATGCCTAAACGAGCATCATCTGTATCCAACCCAACCACATCTCCACTCCCACTGCAGTAGCTGGATCTTTGTCCTGTGCTAGACTCCTTGGATCACCCTGGGTAGCACTCAGGAAGCCAGAATTGATGTTTTTCATCTCTCAAAGGAGAAGACACTAGGTTTGGGGTATCCAAAGGCATGGACATTAGAGGTGGCTCCATGCAAGACTCTGGTTTCATTTGTTGTTGTTGTTGTATTTTTTTTTTAGATAGGATTTTGCTCTGTTGCCCAGGCTGGAGTGCAGTGGCACAATCATGGCTCACTGTGGCCTTGACCTCCCAAGCTCAAGTGATCCTTTAACCTCAGCCTCCCAAGTAGCTGGGTCCACAAGCATGTATCTCCACGCCCAGCTAATTTTTTTTTTTAGAGAAAGGGTCTTGGTATATTGCCCAGACTGGTCTCAAACCACTGGGCTCAAGTGATCCTCCCACAACGGTCTCCCAGAGTTTTGGATTACAGGTGTGAGCCACCGATCCAGCCTGGTTTTGAATCTCAAAGCAACTATGAACTGACAGTGACCCTGAACATCATTTTCCCTTCTGGACCTTAGTTCTTGACTCACCCAAGTGTGCTGAGGCTGAACAAGGGCCCTTACACTTAACTCATCAAGGCATAGGACAGGGAAGGGGATGCAGAAGTGAATGAGGTGGGCCCTCTCCCTTCGATCTCCAATAACTCACAGTATAGTCCTCAGGGTCTGCACATAGGAACCACTCAATACGTGTGTATTAGTCAGCTTTTCCTGAGATAACACTGCAAAACAAACAATCCCAAAAATCTAACACCTTACACCAAGTGGCTATTTTTCTTGGCCATGGGTTTATGTCTGTGGGTCAATAGGGGTGACCCTGTTTCATCCTGAGAGCTGGGTCATGGTCTCCTCCTGTTTCTCATTCTGCAGCCAGTGGTTGCCCAGTGCAAGCTCCTCTCATGGCAGAAGCACAAGAGACCAAGACAAATCAGCAGGGATCTGTAAAGCCTCTGTTTGTATCATGTCCACTAGAATGTTCCAGTGGCCAACACAAGTCATGTGGACAAATTCAACATCCATAAGACAGAGACATGTACTCTGCCTACTTTTGTGAGCAGTGTTGAAAAGTAATATGGCAAAAGGCATAATTCTATTACAGGGAGGGAATGAAGAATTGGAAACCATAGATGTTTATCCAATGGCCAGAACTGCCCCCAGTATGGCAGGAGCAGGCAGTGGGCTCTGGGCCCACTGTGAGCCACAACCTCACTAATTTTCTTCTCTGTTCCTCGGCAGGAGCTCAGTGAGTACAACGCCACAGCCATAAAAAGCCCCACCAACACGGTCACCGTGCAGGGCCTCAAAGCCGGCGCCATCTATGTCTTCCAGGTGCGGGCACGCACCGTGGCAGGCTATGGGCGCTACAGCGGCAAGATGTACTTCCAGACCATGACAGAAGGTGAGCAGAGTCCAGTGGGCAAGAGGAGGGCACAGACTCCACAAACAGAGCAAACTCAAGGGTCACCATTCCCATGAAGCACTTTTGTGCAAATTAGAAAAGGCACTCCCTTCCAGATGTCAGCCCTCCCTCCTTCCTAATTTCGAACCTTTGTGCACAACCATATATAAAAGCCCTGTTTGTGTTCCCATTGTGTCAGCCAGGCCACTTCCTTTCCCAGGACTCTGAGGAGCTCAGCCCTAACTTCCAGAGCCACTCTGAGCAAGTCACGCATTCCTTGGTCCAATTTTTTCTCATCTATAAAATGAAAGCATCACATTCAATCTGAGAGAGTAAGCATATTTTATCCATGCACAACTCCAGTGACTTGCAATTGGACTGAGAAGGATTCTGAAGCTGCATCTGAGTTCAGCAGGAAGAAGTTCTGGGATAGATTAGTACTGTCTGCCCCAGGCAAGGGAGTGAGAGATCTAGCCTGTGTGCTACGTTTCCCACTCTGGAACTACATGGTTTCTAAGCACCATTTCTGCTCTAATAATCTTTAGAAGCAACACAGTTTAAAGACTATCGGCTCTGAAACCAAAGAAATGAGGATTCCATTTCTGATTTAGCCCTAACTGTATGTGCCTAAACAAGTCACCTTACCTCTCCAACCCTCAGCTTTCTCATTCATAAGTGGGGGTGATAACAATGATCTCATTATCACCATCGTTATCAAACTAGTGTAAGAATGAGAGACCTAGCACAGGATTGGCACTAGGTCCCAGGCATATCATCACTCACCAGATGGTAGGTAAGTCATAGTTTGTCATTGCTGTGAGTCTGGGATCCGTTTCACCAGTCAGCTAAACTCCAGGGTGGCTCTATCTGACCAGATTCCAGCATCACCATCCTTTCTTAGTATCTGCTCTAACCACTAGGCGTGCCTTGGCCTTTGCCTGGTTGAACATTTCAGAGGCTCCTGGACTCTTAAATTCTTGCCTTATCACAAAAATCCTCCCTATGGCTCTACCATCTCTTCCAGCACTCACCTCCTCTGTAATCTTTCTGTTCCTCGTGGCAGCTTTTTTCACCTCTTTAAGCCCTTTTCCATGTTGGGTGAGTGTCACTGACTGGGAACTGAGAGACTGTCCCAAGATCCTTTTATTAATTCAACAAATGTGGCTGGGGCCCTGCCACTTACCAGGCCAAGTGTGGGCACTAAGGTCCCAGAGCGTGTGTCTGATCTCAACAAGTTCCTGTTCTGGTCAGTGAGACAGATGAGAAGTAAAAATAGCTAGGTGTGATGGCTCACATCTGTAATCTCAGCATTATGGGAGGCCGAGGCAGGCAGATCACCTGAGGTCAGGAGGTTCGAGACCAGCCTGGCCAATATGGTGAAACGTTATCTCTACTACAACTACAGAATCAGCCAGGCGTGATGGCAGGCACCTGTAGTCCCAGCTACTCGGGAGACTGAGACAGGAGAATGGCTTGAACCTGGGAAGCAGAGGTTGCAGTGAGCCAAGATCGTGCCATTACACTCCAGCCTAGTCACAAGAGTGAAACTCACACTCCAAAAAAAAAAAAGAGAGAAGTAAAAATAATAAAATGTAAATCAATGATAGTGTTAATGGCATTGAATGGTTTCCAAGAGCCAGGCTAATGCCAAGTGTATCTTCTGTGTTCTCCCATTTCAACTCCCACCGTTGGGTCAAGCAGACCTGGGTTCAAATGCCTGGCCGGAGTGCTACTTTCTTTGTGACCTCAGGCACATCATGACCTCACTAAGCCCAGTTTCCTCCTCTGTAAAATGGGGTAATCATAAGACTGTTCCGAGATACGTAACATACTTAGCACAGTGAGTGACACATAAAACACTCAGGGATAAGAATAGTTAATATTGATTGAATGCTTGCTTGTGTGCCAAGTGTTGTTCTAAGTGCTTTACCCAACAATCCTGAGATGGGAACTATTATTCTCCCCATTTTACAGATAAGGCAACTGAGGCACAAAGAGGTAAGTCACTTTGCCTTATCACACAGTCACTTTGCCTTACTATCACATAGTTAGTAAGTGGCACCATTGGGATTCAAACCCAGGGAGTCTGGCTCCAGAGTCTGTGCTTTTAACTGCCTGTGTGTGTGTGTCAGCTGTTATTATTGTTGATTTTCACATCAACATTGAGATGTAGGAATTATGCCCATTTTATGGATGAGAAATTGAGGATTGGAGCAGTTCATGGACTTGTCCAGGGTTACCTGTGAGTCGGTGACAGCCCCTTTTCTGCATGGGCATGTGACAGGTGCTCTGTCAGGGGCAGGAACAGAGCCTAGGGATCCCAGGAGACCCAACAGCATGGCAGGGGGTAGGGGACAGGGGTATTAAGACTCCCACAGGCAGGCTGAGAATGCCCTTCCATGCTTTCTCCCCAGCCGAGTACCAGACAAGCATCCAGGAGAAGTTACCACTCATCATTGGCTCCTCAGCCGCTGGCCTGGTCTTCCTCATCGCTGTGGTTGTCATCGCCATCGTGTGTAACAGGTGGGTGGGGTCTCCAGGCTTGGCTGGGCCTGGCTGTCCCAGATGGCTTCTCTCCCTCTATTCAGTCATTCCTCTACAGTGCTGGTGAACTGAGGAGGCCTTCTTACAATTGCAGGGAGAGACGTGGGTAGGAAGTGGAAGTCTTCAAGTGGCCTCCTGCTACCTAAGCGGCCACCATGTGCAATTCATCCCTTTGGGATAGGCATCGTCCCTGACAAGCCACTATTGAAGGGGGTGGCACATTGAGACACTAATGCAATGGGCAAGAAAGACTGCAGGCTGCTAGGAGTTTAGTGGTTGGTGGAAGGGGTATACAGATTGTCCTGCTTTCTGCATGAGTTCAGGCCCTCTGGCTGAGGTGCTGGAAAGATGGGGAGGACTTAGGAGGAGGAGCGGGGAGGGACCTCCCAAGTGACTAGGACGGCACAAGCAAAGGCAAGAGGGTGGGGCCAGTTCCTTGACTTCTGCTGGGTATAATGCAAAGAAAGAGTCTCTTTAAAGAGTTCCCAATTTCAGAATAGACTGGACCATAAGTTCAGGTGGACAGAAGCCCCTGGGGTTTCTGGGGCCAGATGCCGTGGCTGGAAGATGACTTCTTTCTGAAGGGGGCTTGGCTGGAGGGGGAACTGGGGAAAACGTGAACCTGGACTTGAGGTGGGAGGAGTGGGAAGGGACAAGTGGGGCCAGAAGGGACAGGCAGGGAGCCCTCTGGCAGGGGTGTGGCTTCTAGGGTCTGCCCACCCTCTCCCTATCACCTACTGTGGCTCCCAGCTCCCTGGGCGCCTCCAGGTGGCTCCAGCCCTTTGCTCTTGTTCCAGAAGACGGGGGTTTGAGCGTGCCGACTCGGAGTACACGGACAAGCTGCAGCACTACACCAGTGGCCACAGTATGTACACACCCCAGCAGGCTGGAACCCTTGGGCCCTTTACTGTCGGTTCCCCAGTGACCTCTTAAGCCATCTTGGACCTCCTACTGCCATGCTGCAGGCAGACAGTGTCAAGTGGTTGCCTGGTCGCACTAAGCTCACTCTCACCTCTAGGCCTTTGCAAGTGCGGTTCCCTCTGCCTCAAACGCTGTTCCCTCTGCCTCAAACGCTGTTCCCTCTGCCTCAAGCGCTCTCCCCATCTCCCTTTACCCATGTACCCTTTACTCATCCCTCAGGCCTCACCATACACAGACTCCTCTGAGCAGCCTTCCCTGACCCCACTCCATCCTGGGTTCAGGAGCCGCATCTGTGCTTGCAGGCTGCATTGAGGTGGCTGTTTCTTATCTCACGACCATGATAGTGGGGGCCGCTGGAGACCTGGAATTGTGTCTGACATTTACCATGTCTCCCCAGCACCAGTGCGGTGCCCAGCACATAGTAGACACTAGACATATTTGCAGAATAAATAAATGAATCAAATTGAATGAATGAGTTGATGAGGACTCCGGGCTGTGACCCAGGAGGTGAGAAAAGCAGCAGGAGCCCCTTCCTTCTTCTCTTCCTCTCACTCTGTGGCTCTAGACCCCTGTTCTTCCCCAGTGGCTCCTCCGGTGGCCTCTTCCCCTTACCCAGTGCCCTCATTTCTCCCACCATCCCATCCTCCATTGGGCCAGGGCTGGGGATGTATGTGCCACACACACACAGGTGTCCCCTCCTGAAGGGCCAGAGAGAAAAGTAGATCAAAGATTCCTCTCTCCGCTTGACCTGGGCAAAACCAGTTATCAGAGAGTTGGGGGGTGTAAGAAGCTTAGTCCTTACTTCAGATCATTCAGCAAAAAGGAGTTCTAAATGGGTCCAACATTCATTCTCAAACTGTACTCAGTGGGATGCCCTGGGGTTCCTCAGGCTGCCTCTAAGGGCCCTGCCCTTGTCACACATCTGTCGTGGGCCTACTACATATGCCAGGCACTGTTCTAGGTGCTGGGGATCCCCGAGTAACCAAACCGAATATCCTGGCCTTTGAAAAACTTATATTCTAGTGGGAAGGATGGGGAATAAAAAAATACATGTCATAAGGTCAGGCACAGTAGCTCACTCCTGTAATCCCAGCACTTTGGGAGGCTGAGGCAGGCAGATGACTTGAGGCCGGGAGTTTGAGACCAGCCTGGCCAACATGGAGAAACCCTGTCTCTACTAAAAATACTAAATTTAGCCAGGCATGGTGGTGTGTGCCTGTAATCCCAGCTACTCAGGAGGCTGAGGCAGGTAAATTGATTGAACCCGGGAGGCAGAGACTGCAGTGAGCAGAGATTGTGCCACTGCACTCCAGCCTGGGTGACAAAGCAAAACTCTGTCTCAAAATAAATAAATAAATAAATAAATAAATAAATAAATAAATAAATAAATAAATAAAAACATGTTATAAGGCTAGGCACAGTGGCTCACACCTGTAATCCCACCACTTTGGGATGCCAAGGCGGGTGGATCGCTTGAACACGGGAGTTCAAGACCAGCCTGGGAAACATGATGAAAGCCTGTCTCTACCAAAAATGTACAAAAATTAGCTGGGTGTGGTTGTGTGTGCCTGTAGTCCCAGCTACTTAGGAGGTTGAGGTGGGAGAATAGCATAAGCCCAGGAGGCGGAGGTTGCAGTGAGCCGAGGTTGCAGTGAGCTGAGGTCTGACCACTACAGTCCAGCCTGGGTGACAGAATGAGACCCTGTCTCAAAAAAAAAAAAAAAGAAAGAAAGCAGAAAAGAAAAATACATGTCATGAATGCAAAGCGTATGGTATATTTGAAGATGCAGGTGCTATAGGAAAAAGACAAAGTGGAACAGGTAATGGACTGAGAGTTGTGGGGATCAGGGTGGCATTTTTAAATAGGACAGCTTGGGTTGGCCTCACTGACAGGGTTTTATTTGCACAAAGATACAAAGGAGCTGGGGGAGTGAGCTACTCAGAGGTATCTGAGGGAAAAGCATTCCAGGAAGAGAGAACAGCCAATGCAAAGGTCCTGAGGCTGGAGCTTCCTGGCAGGTTTCAGAAACAGCAGAGGCTGGTGTGACTGGAGCAGAGCAAAGAGAGGAATGGAAGCTTTGAGGGAGTCCAACATGCAGATTCTCATCAGGCTTAGCAAAGCCTTGGCTTTTCCTTGAGTGAAATGGGGAGCTGCTGGAAGGTTCTGAGCAGAGGACTGACATTCTCCAAGTTACAGCCTTGGTGGGACTTCTCTGGCTGTTCTCTGGAGAATAGACCGAAGGCGCTGATGCAGGGAGACCAGCGTGGTGGCTGTTGGAAGAATCCAGGGAAGATATGATGGTGGCCAGACCAAGTGGCAGGGAGAAGGTAGTGGGAAGTGGTTGGATTCCGACATATTTCAAAAGCAGAGCCACTAGATTTGCTGCAGGATTGGATGTGGGTATGTAAGCATGAGCAGAGTCTAGGAGTTCCAGGTACAAAGCCTCTGGGTAAGACGTAATTTGAAGTAAAAGTTCCTGGGCTTAAAAATAGTTTGGGGCTGGCCAGGCATGGTGGCTCACGCTTGTAGTCCCAAGCTACTCAGGAGGCTGAGGTGAGAGGATTGTACAAGGAGGTCAAGGCTGCAGTGAACCGTGATCTTACCACTGCACTCCAGCCTGGGTGACAGAGTGAGACCCTGTCTCAAGAAAAAATTTAAAAGTGAAAAATAAGGCTGGGTGCAGTAGCTCACGCCTATAATCCCAGCACTTTGGGAGGCCAAGGCGGGTGGATCACCTGAGGTCAGGAATTCAAGACCAGCCTGGCCAACATGGTGAAACCCCGTCTCTACTAAAAATACAAAAATTAGCTGGGTGTGGTGGTGCACACCTATAATCCCAACTACTCAGGAGGCTGAGGCAGGAGAATCGTTTGAACCCAGGAGGCGGAGGTTGCAGTGAGTCGAGATCGCACCACTGCACCCCAGCCTGGGTGACAGAACAAGACCCTGTTTCAAAAAAAAAAAAAAAAGATTCGATTTCCAAATAAGATTACACAGAGGTACCGGGGCTAGGACTCTAAGGTATCTTTGGCTGGGTGCAGTGGCTCACGCCTGTAATCCCAGCACTTTGGGAGGCCAAGCTGGGTGAATCACCTGAAGTCAAAAGTTCAAGACCAGCCTGGCCAACATGCTGAAACCCATCTCTATTAAAAATACAAAAATTAGGCCGGGCACAGTGGCTCAAGCCTGTAATCCCAGCACTTTGGGAGGCCGAGACGGGCGGATCACGAGGTCAGGAGATCGAGACCATCCTGGCTAACCTGGTGAAACCCCGTCTTTACTAAAAAAATACAAAAAACTAGCCGGGCGAGGTAGCAGGCGCCTGTAGTCCCAGCTACTCGGGAGGCTGAGGCAGGAGAATGGCATAAATCCGGGAGGCGGAGCTTGCAGTGAGCTGAGATCCGGCCACTGCACTCCAGCCTGGGCAACAGAGCAAGACTCCGTCTCAAAAAAAAATAAAAATACAAAAATTAGTGGGGCATGGTGGCGGGTGCCTATAGTCCCAGCTACTCAGGAGGCTGAAGCAGGACAGTTACTTGAACCTGGGAGGTGAAGATTGCAGTGAGCCTGGGGAACAGAGCAAGACTCCTTCTCAAACAAAAACAAACAAAAAAAAAAGAAAAAGATTATAAATTATGTCATCACCTCTTATTGCCCCAAGTAATGAAACCATGATCATAGATGTGGCTAGACGTACTGCGTGCATTCTGTGTGCCAAGAATTGTTTCAAGGCTTTACATGTACTTATTCATTTGATCCTTATAGTGTCTCACTTTGAATATGGGGAAACTGAGGCACAGAGGTTGTACAGCTGCCAGGGAAGGAGCAGGGGTATGAACTCCAGCTATCTGGCTGCAGAGCTGGCATCCTGTGCTGGCTCCATTCTGCTGAGCTGGAATGGGATAGGCTCCCATGCTCTGTCTCCTGGAGCCACTGGGGAGCATTGCTATGTGGTGTGTGAGTCAGTAATAGGGAAACAGGTGAGGTCTATTTTTAAAATAGACCCCAGGGTTTGTTGCTAGATCAGCACATTTAAGGCCTAAGATGCCCCTCCCTCCATCCTAAGCTCTAACGTTAGATCTGAGCAGAACTTTGTTCTGTTCAAAGCACTGCCAGCCCTGTGATCCCATATACATCCAGCCACCCTGCGTGGTCAGGACAGAGGAGGAAGCTGAGGCCCAGAGATCCATGTGACTGGCCTGTAATCACCCACATGGCCACACGGTTTCCATCATCCAGCAGGTGCTGAGTGAGTACCAAGGTCTGTGATGCCTGGATGTGGAACCGGAGGGACTGATCTGGCTTCTCATCCCTACACTGCCACTGGCCAGCTGGGTGACCTCGGGAAAGCCATCAAACCTCTCTGAGCCTTGACATCTTTATATGGGAAGTAGCAAGAACGATACTTTCGTCATGGAATTGTGAGGATTCAATGAATTAAGGGACGTTAAAGTGCTTTGGAGTAATATTTAATAATAGCCAGCTCTTCTTTGCAACAGGTTACAATTATTCAGCACTTTCCTTGATGCTCTCGTTTAATCCTTGCAACCCCATTAGGAGGTAGGTATTGTTTGTTATACCCATTGGGTAGGTGAAAAAAGTAAGACGCAGAGATTAAGTAACTTGTTCAAGGACACACAGCTGGATCAACACAGTGGTTGATCCTGGCTTGAGACTCACAAAGCAGCTCATTTGTGACCAGAATTAGCAGCAGTGCCAGAATTCAGACCCAGAACTCGGCACACTGGTTCCTCTTCCCTCATCGTGAATTTCGCATTTGAGGGCAGGGCAACGGGCAGTGGCCGACAGCCGTAAATCATCCAAACAACAGCCCAGGATTTTCTGTAGCCTTTGCCTACAGAGGTCCTCACCCGACCTCGGTTCAGCAAGTGCCCCTCCTGAGAGTCAAGCTTGTTGGAGGCTCTGGCCACCAGACACTCACTCACCTTCTATTCCAAGAGGCAGACTGGGGAAGTACCTGGAAGAAATGCAGCCTGAGGGTTACAAGTGGAGACTCTGTAGCCGGCCCGGGTTCAAACCCCACTTCTGCCATTTATTAGCTGTGTTGATGTCATTTAACCTCGTGTGTGTGTGTGTGTGTGTGTGTGTAAACAGGGTCTCGCTTTGTCACCCAGACTGGAATGCAGTGGCACAAACACGGCTCACTGCAGCCTCTACCTCCTGGGCTCAATCAATCCTCATGCCTCAGCCTCCTGAGTAGCTGGGATCACAAGCCTACACCACCATGCCTGGCTAACTTATTTATTTTTCATAGACATGGGTTTCTGCCATGTTACCCAGGCCAGTCTCGAACTTCTGGGCTCAGGCAATCCTCCTGCCTCAGCCTCCCAAAGGACTGGGATTATGAGCTTGAGCCACCGTGTCCCACTCATTTAACCTTTTTTATGCCAGTTTCCTCATCTGAAAAACAGGCATCGTATGGGATTGTACCAAATGAAATTGCTATTTATGTAGGTCAGAAACAGTTAAATATTGACAGTTTCATAAGGTATCAGCCTAATAATGGCACTTACCTGGTAGGGTTGTTAGGAGGATTCATTGGATCAAAAACTATAAAGTGCCCAGAACAAGGCCTGGCACCCAGTAAATCTACACCGAATGTATATTCAATAAGTGTTTATTAAGCATCTACTGTATATCACCTTCACATAAGTACTCCAGAGGCAACATTCTAAAGCAAGGGCTTGTAGCTTGGGGTCTAAAGACCCCTAGAGCTTCCAAGGGCCTGTGAATACGCCAAAATTATACGTGAAATATGGGAGTATGCACACACAGGAATACTTTTCCAAGGAGCAGATTCATAATTTTCATCAAATTCTCAAAGACATTCAAGACACGTAGTAATGCCATTATGTGTTCAGTAAGCACTTATTGGGCACCCACTGTGTGCCAGGCCCTGGATTCAGCATGAACAAGACAGACACAGACTCGGTCTTCCTGCGGAAGAGGGTAAACTAAGCCCTCACAGGCAGCAGAGTGTTCCAGAAAGGAGTGGCAGGGGGCTGTGGGCATGTGTATCTGGGAACCCTGGTACAAGGTAGAAAAGCCAGAACAGACATCAAGGTCATAAGAGTGGGTGTGGACTCAGGACTGTGGGAGCCTGAGGAGAGGGTACAGGTCTCCCCTGGAGCAATCCAAGCGGTCTTCACAGAGGCGATGGCATTTGATCTGGTCACAAAAAGAAAGAGGAGAGGGTACTCCAGGTAGAGAGCACGCCACGAACAAAAGCATGGAGGCAGGAAATAGTGAGGTGAATCTGAAACCCCTGGGTCAGTAAGTCCTGTGAGCTGGCATCTAGGGAGCAGGGAGCTGGAAGTGAGGCCAATCCATGGAGAGCTGGGAATGCCAGGCAGGGGCATGCACCTTTGTCCTGCAAGCAGCAGAGGCCCTCCTGACCAGTGCTGCTGGCCACAGCATGGCGATGGCATCCAGTTGCTTGGCAGTGGAGGCGACCAAGGAGGGTTTGAGCTACTGTGCTTCCCCTTACCTCCCAGAGTCAACCCATTCCTGTCCTCCATCCCCATCAGAAAGGGCCTCCCCCAGTCCTATTGGGAGGGAGGCTGAAAACCAGTTGTCAAGAACCACAGGGCGTGCATTGAGTCTGAGCAAGCAAGAGAGCATCCCCAGGGAGCCGACGCCCTGGCTCTGAGAAGGCTGATGGGGAAGGAGGTGGTCATGGCGGAATACTCCAGAAGGAGGCATGGACCAGATTCTGGTTGTATGTCATCCAGGAGGCAGTGAACATGGTGATTAGGAGTACTGGCCCCAGGCTCAAGTCTGACAGACCCGGGTTCAAATCCTGGCTGTGCCATTTGCTAGCTGTGTGGCCTTGGCCAGATGACTTAGCCTCTCTGAGCCACAGTTTCCTTATGTGTGAAATGGGAATAATTGTCCTTTCTTCTAAGAGTTTTTGAGTGGAGGAGATAAGGCATATAAAGAGCCTGGCATGGTGTTGAGCACAAAGGGCTCAGTAAGTGACAGCTGCTATTATGATTCTATCTGTGTCATTTGGATTCTGCTCGGCCCTACAGACACTGAGTGTCTGCTGTGTGCAGAGCTTTATGCAGTTTGCCAGGGGAGGGAGAAATCAGAAAAAAAAAAAAAAAGTGTCCATTTCCTCCTCCCAAGCACTCAACAGTCTTGGATGGTGGTTCTTAACCTCTTTGGGGGCCTCAGACTCCTGGGAGACTCTGCTGAAAGTTTTGGAGCCTATGGCCAGAAAAACAGATACATGTATAAAATTATTAAAAGTCCAGAGGTCAGGCCAGGCACAGTGGCTCATGCCTGTAATCCCAGCACTTTGGGAGGCCGAGGCTGGTGGATCACTTGAGGTCAGGAGTTGGAGACCAGCCTGGCCAACATGGCAAAACCTATTAAAACTCTATTAAAAATACAAAAAATAAGCTGGGTGTTGTGGCACATGGCTGTAATCCCAACTACTTGGGAGGTTAAGGTGGGAGGATGAGGGACACTTGAATTCGGGAGGCGGAGGTTGCAGTGAGCTGAGATCGTACCACTGCACTCCAGCCTGGGTGACAGAGAAAAAAAAATGTTTTTAATTAAAAAAAATTCAGAGGTCTATACTCAAGGATGGATTTTTTGAGAACTTTTGTTTTTGACAATATTTATTTCTATAACTTTTGGACTTTCGAAGCAGCATGAATTACTTTTTGAATAGAAAAGGACAATCATAATAAATGAATCCCATCTCAGGAGGTTATCAGACCTCCTACTGCCCATACTTAGGACTGCTAAGTAGCTCACAGACCCAAATTAAGAAACCCTGACCTCAAGAGCTGAACAAATACCCACACAAATAATCCCAAATAAAGCTCACGTGTTATAGCAGCAGTTGGCAAATTTTTCGTAAGGGGACAGATAGTAAATATTTTAGACCTTATGGGTCTCCCTTGTAACTACCCAACTCTGCTGTCATAGCTTAATAACAGCCATAGGCAAAGGAATGAACATGATTGTGTTCCAATAAAACTTTATTTACAAAATAGGCTGTAAGCCAGTTCGCCAACAGCTGTGTTACACACTCTAATGCCTAGATTCCTGGAATGCCTAAAATAGAGGCTGAGAGTGTCAACTCATATGTCCAAGGTCACACAGCTGAGCAGGGTTGATGGCCTCATGCACCAACCAGCCAAGCCTTATGGTGACCCAAGGATTTCAACTCCCAACTCCTAGAGCTCCTACCTCCAAAGTTGCAGCTCCTGGAGCGGCAGGAGAATGTGAGCAGGATGTTGGAGAAGCCAGAGGAAAGTTTGGGCTCTGGACCGGGAGGTCTGGGTATTGGAAGACCAGCTGTCTGTCTGGGAGGGGGAAGATGGATGGGTCATCTTTCCCTTCTTTCCAAGCATTTTGCTGACTCAGTGCTGGCTGTTCAGAATTGGGTCTTTGACATCCAGGTTACCTTCTTCTCTTAGTGCATAAAAAAATAAGTGTGGGACAGAAGAGAGGGAGAGCAAATAATAACAATAATAATAAAATTAAAATATGCATCAGATCAGGAATCAAATGCCCGATGTCTAGCCTCATGCTGATTACCAGAAAATCAGGGATCCGGAAGGGGTTAAGACTTGGCTAGTGGGGGACCTGGGAGGTGGCCCAGCAGCTGTGGATACTCAGTCCCTGGTGAGTGGGGCAGCCCCAGGCTCTGGGGGCCCATTTGGGAAGTTGGGGCAGCTAGAAAGGGACCCTGGGGGAAGAGGAGGCTTGAATTAGGCCTGGAGTTAGGCCTGGAGAGACAAGGAGGAGCTCTCCGTAGCAGAACTCCAAGGACAACATGGTCTATTGCCTGATCTTTCTGTATTTTAGTTCCAATTTGCTCCCTTCCTTTTTGCCCCCCTCTTCCTTTACTTTGCACCCCTTGATTCTCTATCACCTATCTTTCCATTTATCCTTCTGTGCCCATGCCCGTAGCAGACATTGCTTATCAGTTCTGCCAGCCTCAGCTGCTCCAGAAAACCACTGCTGATCAATGAGAGTTGGAACAAGAGCTAAGACCTATCTGCCACCCCTGCTGGTCTCTGTTCTCCTCACCTCCTACTCAGTTCACGCCCATCTGCTCAGTAAGACCCAGAGGGGTCAAGTGACCTGCAGGGAGTTGCCCAGTTCTTATGGGGGCCACATGGGAGTGGATTTCCCTCCACGGAGGGACTGGCTCCCGCTTTTCCTTTTGTGTGCATCTTAAGTCAGTCCATATGACAGAGCCTGGTCTTGTCCCCCAGTGACCCCAGGCATGAAGATCTACATCGACCCTTTCACCTATGAGGACCCCAACGAGGCAGTCCGGGAATTTGCCAAGGAAATTGACATCTCCTGTGTCAAAATTGAGCAGGTGATCGGAGCAGGTAGGTGGCTGGTACCTTCACATGTACTATGGCCTTAGCCATGGGTGGCGAGACCACCCCAATGTGTACCCTTGGGGCAGAAGGTAGGATGTGAGACAGGGGCCTCAAAGGACCCCCCCCCAAGGCCTGAAGGTTCAGAATGACCATGAAAGAAGGGCCCTCAAAGGTCATCCAGTAAAATCACCTCACTGACAAAAGAGGAAACTGAGGCACAGGGCTGGGAGGTGGCTGGGACTTTTCTGGACCCCTGACATTCTTGAAGGGGTTTGGTGTCTGCAAGGATGAGTGGGCCATTGAGAAGAAAATGTACATGCAGGCCCTGTGAGTGGATGTGACAGGGAACAGGGAGGTGGCCCTTCCACCTGGCAAGTGACATCCTGCCTGTCTTGGTGTTTCTGTCTCAGGGGAGTTTGGAGAGGTCTGCAGTGGCCACCTGAAACTGCCAGGCAAGAGAGAGATCTTTGTGGCCATCAAGACGCTCAAGTCAGGCTACACGGAGAAACAGCGCCGGGACTTCCTGAGCGAAGCCTCCATCATGGGCCAGTTCGACCATCCCAACGTCATCCACCTGGAGGGTGTCGTGACCAAGAGCACGCCTGTGATGATCATCACTGAGTTCATGGAGAATGGCTCCCTGGATTCCTTTCTCCGGGTAGGGGAAGCCAAGAGGGCCAGGGGCCCATGAATGGGGCAGGAAAGGAGTGATGGACACAGCTTCAGACTCTCAGAGCCTGAAGCGGTCTTGGAAAAGCTCTAGGTCAGGAATGGCTTGTAGGCTGTCACTTTCCATTCCCTTACCCGTGGCAGGCACTGCTAATCAATCCCAGCACTCTCATCCACTAAGCCCAGAAGCAGTCCCAGAATTCTTCTCAGTGTGGTTCCCCAGGAAGCCACAATCAGTTGATCAGAGTTGGCACACATCTCAAATCTGTTTCCATTCCTGCTCTTAGCCAGCCTTCTCATTGTGCACCGAAGAAAACGGGCTCAAAGAGAGGTTGGATTTGTCCAGAGTCACCCAGAGGGTCAAGATGAGGCCTGGACTGGAATCAAGTGTCTTGACCTCTCATCCAGGGTTTTCACCAGATTTTGGAGTTCTCCAAAGCTCTATAGGCTGGTGGGAGGAGTTCAAGGCCAACAGAGGAAAATGTCAAGGTCTCCCAGGAGACCACAGTCAACCAACCAGACATAGCACCAGACTGGGCATCAGAAGCAGGCCATTGGATCAGCTGCTGTTCAGTAAATATTTGTGAAGCACCTAACATGTGCCAGGCACCTTCCATGTACCTTCTTGTTTAAGCCAGAATAGCCCTGGGAGATGGGTGTGATTTAGGCCCATTTAACACACAGAAGAGGAAACTGAGACTCAGAGATGTTAGGTTACATGTCCAAGGTCGCACAGCCAAGAAGGAACAAAGCCAGAGTCAAACCAAGTGTATATGCTTCAAAGCCTGTGTTCTCATCACCACCCTGAAGAGCCTCTCCGGGGTCCCGAAGCATCTGAGTCCTTCCCCAAGGAACCTAGAGCCAGGCTGGCAGGGCCCTGCTCTGGTTTCCCATTGTGAGGATGATGCAGAGCCCTGATGCCTGTTCTGTTCACTCTGTGTTTTCTCCACTTCTCCCACAGCAAAACGATGGGCAGTTCACAGTCATCCAGCTGGTGGGCGTGCTTCGGGGCATCGCAGCCGGCATGAAGTACCTGGCAGACATGAACTATGTGCACCGTGACCTGGCTGCCCGCAACATCCTCGTCAACAGCAACCTGGTCTGCAAGGTGTCGGACTTCGGGCTCTCACGCTTTCTAGAGGACGATACCTCAGATCCCACCTACACCAGCGCCCTGGTAAGATGGAGGCAGGGAACACCGGAGTCCCAGAGCCAGAGAAGAGAGGCCTGAGTGGCCATCTCTCTCCCTGCAAGACAATTGCACTAACGCCCAACTGGGCCAAGCACTGCCCTGGGCCCTGGAGACAGGGAGACAGGAACCACAGCTCCTGCCCTCTTGCAACTCCCACACTGATGGGGAACACATGTGCAGAGCCATGTGGAGTGACAGGGCTGTAAGCCAGGACAGGCAGCCTTGGAGGCAGAGGAAGGCTTGCTGGAGAGGTTGATATCTGAGCTGAGAGCGGAAGGGCCCAGAAATGTTTGTCAAATGCCATGTTCTCATGGCAAAGTCCTGCGACTGGAATACAGGCTGTAGGGGCAGTGGTAGTGAGCAGTAGTGCTGGAGAGGTAGGCAGGGCTGGACCTTGGAGCTCCTGGAATGCCCAGGTTCAGGCCTCTCTCCTGAAAGCAGCAGGGGTTGTTGAAGGTTTTAAACTGGAAGGACAAAGAGCCCAGAGACGGGTGCAAGTAGGCAAGTCACTTCAGTACTGTGCTGTGTGAGACGTGCCTCCTTGATGGGGAGGCGTAAGTCACAGCTGTGGGATTGAGGGCAGCTGACAATTCTTTGGGAGCTCAGAAAAGCTTTTGGAGGGACTTGAGGATGAGAAGGAGGTTTCCAGATGGCAGAGTGGTAAAAGGCACTTCATGCAGAGGGTGCAGCTGGTGCAAATGCCCAGTGGTCTGAAGCTGCATGGTGAGTTTGGGGCACAATGAGGTGCCTCATGAGATTGGGGTATCACAGGGCACAGAGTGGGAGGATTAAGAGAAGAGGTCAGACAGGCCAGCCTCCCACCCACGAACCCTCCTCATTCTGTCTCCCAGGGCGGAAAGATCCCCATTCGCTGGACAGCCCCGGAAGCCATCCAGTACCGGAAGTTCACCTCGGCCAGTGATGTGTGGAGCTATGGCATCGTTATGTGGGAGGTGATGTCCTACGGGGAGCGGCCCTACTGGGACATGACCAACCAGGATGTAAGTCTCCAAGGGGAGGGGCAAGACCTCTCCGGCCCACCAGATGGGAGAGGGAAGATCGGGGCTCCTGGCCTTGTGCCAGTCTCCCAGAGTGTGGGACATAGGCTTCTGAGATCATGGGCCTGGCTCCCAGGGCAGCTGCCAGCCCGATGGTGACTGATTCGAATGTCCGCACAGGACCCTGGACTCTCCAGGCAGTAGGGAGTAGGAAAGGCCACTCATCCACACATCAGTGCGTCTTCAGGACGCATGCACCTGTGGCCAGCCCCAAATGAGACCACATCTGCCCTTCAGGTGTTTACCACCTAACTGGGGGACAAGACGATTATTCAGGGAACCAGATGTTGTGATCAGGAGCTTTTAAGATCAGGTGCTAAATCGGAGTAGCCCTGGAGGCACTGAGGCACCGGCAGCATGGGCAAGATCAGACAGGAGGTGATCGCAGGATAAGTGGGGTTCGAACAGTCGCAGGACGTGGAGACTTGAGAGCTTCCAGTGGGAAAGAACAGCATGTGTAAAGGCTGAGGTGGGCCAGTGCGGGGTTGAACCCAAACCAGAGGGTTTCCATTAGCAAAAATGCAGACAGGAAGGACTCGAAGAAACTTCTTACACGAGAAGGGTGACCCACAGTCAAGCTGTGGAAGGTGAATCTGGCTGTGGTGGCAGGACAGGCTGAGAGGGGTGTTTAGGAGCATTTCCTTGACAGAGAAGCAGGTGGAGATGGTGGGAGGGGGCCCCAGCCAGGCTTGAGGCCATGGTGTGGGCCTGATGAGGGGGAGGTATCTCATACCTAGAGCTGTAAATGGCACTAAAATCAAGCATGTGGCCACATGGGGTCAAGCAAGGAGGCAGAGAGGGGAGGCCTTGGGGCCATCCAAGCCAAGAGGGGCTCACAGACGGGAAAGAGGGAGGAGCTGGTGGAACCAGGCACAGGAGGGTCATCTTGGTGGACCCTGGGGAGAAGGTATCTCGGGGCTCTGGATTTCCCAAGATTGGCAGAGGGTGGGGCAAGAACCCAGCTGCCATGTCAGATTAAAGGTCTAGATGGTAGAAACCCAGGTCATCCCATCCCTGGGGCTGCCTCCAGGAGGTGAAACTGGTTGGTTGCCACAGCAACTGAGTAGGTCAGACATGCAATGTACTGGGGGCAAGATGGGCCTGGCAGAGGGTAGATGCCCTCAGCCCATCCACCCAACCCCTCTCCACTCCTGCATTGTCCCAGGTAATCAATGCCATTGAGCAGGACTATCGGCTGCCGCCGCCCATGGACTGCCCAAGCGCCCTGCACCAACTCATGCTGGACTGTTGGCAGAAGGACCGCAACCACCGGCCCAAATTCGGCCAAATTGTCAACACGCTAGACAAGATGATCCGCAATCCCAACAGCCTCAAAGCCATGGCGCCCCTCTCCTCTGGGTAAGACCCTGCCCTGGCCCCGCCCCAGCCAGGCCCTGCCCTTCTTCCCCTCTCCCATCGCTTCGGCCCCCGCCCCCCCCGCTTCAGGCAGATGCTCTTCCTTACTGCAGCTTGGGATGGGAAAGAACAGGACTAGTGTTTGTTGGGTACCTGCCCTGCCTTAGGGGTGCAGGAGAGCAGAGGACACAGACTGCCCAGAGGAAGAAAAGGACACATACCCTGTGGGTGGCAGAGGAGGCATCTTTTAAAGTGTGGTCAGAGAGACCAGGAAGAAAAATTACCAAAGGAAGGCCGGGCGAGGTGGCTTACGCCTGCAATCCCAGCACTTTGGGAGGCTGAAGTGGGTGGATCACCTGAGGACAGAAGTTCGAGACCAGCCTGGCCAACATGGTGAAACCCCTTCTCTACTAAAAAACACAAAAATTGGCCTGGCACGGTGGCTCACGCCTGTAATCCCAGCACTTTGGGAGGCCGAGGCGGGTGAATCACAAGGTCAGGAGATCGAGACCATCCCGGCTAACACTGTGAAACCTCATCTCTACTAAAAATACAAAAAAATTAGCCAGTCGTGGTGGCACGTACCTGTAGTCCCGGCTACTCGGGAGGCTGAGGCAGGAGAATGGCGTGAACCCAGGAGGCCAAGCTTGCAGTGAGCCGAGATTGCACCACTGCACTTCAACCTGGGTGACAGAGCAAGACTCCATCTCAAAAAAAAAAAAAAATTAGCCGGCCCCTAGTGGCGTGCATCTGTAATCCCAGCTACTCAGGAGGCTGAGGCAGGAGAATCACTTGAACCCAGGGGGCAGAGGTTGCCGTGAGCTGAGATCGTGCCATTGCACTCCAGCCTGAGCAGCAAGAGCGAAACTCCATCTAAAAAAAAAAAAAAAATTACCAAAGGATCCAGAATCTTAGTTGGTGAATAGATATGCCTGTCACTAAGTTTCCTTCCTAGCTACCCTCATACTCAAACCTGGACCCTCTAACTTCCATTTATATCCTCATCACACACATGCTCACACAGGTCCAGTCCTACATGCGCAGATGAACACACAATTAGGCACAAACACTCATGACTGTTCACACACAGTCTCAGGCTCTCACACCTACACACATCCATAGGCACCTGCACACACACCCATTCAGAAGTTTGTACTCACCATACACCCATCTGTGCCCGTACACTGAGTCAGCATCCCCATGCCTGAGACACAGGCTCAGCCTGAGGGGTGTTTGCCCGGGGACCTGGTACCTCACTTCTCCTCAAGGCTCAAGCCTCCCAGGGCAGGCTCTGTGGGGCAGCAGCTCTCCTCTGCCTTCCTTGGGTGGCTGTCACAGGTCACACTGCTGCCCCTGCACACACTTACTCCTCAGGACCCACAACCCCACAGGGTGTCAGAGGGGCGTCTGGCCAGGTATCCTTAGGATCTAGGGCTGGCTGTAGCCAGAGAGCACGTTCTTATGAGCGGGAGACCATCGTGCTTCCCTCTGCCTGTCTCTCCTCACCATGACCCTATGTCAGCCACCCCTAACTCTCCAGATCAAATCCCTCTGAGCTTTAAACCTCATGAGAGCCATTTCACTCCTTGCCAGCCAAGAAGTCATTCCCATTAGCGCCACCAGCCTTAGCTGGGCTTTGGAAATACAGTCTCTGGACAGTCCAGAAGGTGAGCTTCCTATAGCACAAACCAGAGTGGGGAAGGATGGAGAATGGCACTGGGAGAGGAAACTGAATAACCAGCATAGTTAGTCTAGCTGAAATCCCTCCTCCTGAAAATAAGCATGGAGCTGCATCTTCCCCTCGTCACTCCCAAGGTCCAGCCTCTTGGCCATCCCTGCAGTGCCTTCCCTAGACTTCCCAGTTGGCCCCAGCTTTGAGTTCTGCACACTCGCTCTCACATGCTTACATATATATGCATGCATGTTTCCACAGGTTCAAACCCATGCCCGCACTCATGCAGAAATGCTCACGTACATACCCCTTCGCCTGTGTTCATGTTCACGTAAATGGATGCACACGTGCACATTCATGCATACACAGCCTACAGGCATGTCCCTGCACGCTCCCTGCAAACAGGTGCCCTGACCATCTCTGTCACCCACCCCCAACCCCAGCATCAACCTGCCGCTGCTGGACCGCACGATCCCCGACTACACCAGCTTTAACACGGTGGACGAGTGGCTGGAGGCCATCAAGATGGGGCAGTACAAGGAGAGCTTCGCCAATGCTGGCTTCACCTCCTTTGACGTCGTGTCTCAGATGATGATGGAGTAAGTGTCCAGCCACCTCTGCTCATCACCTTAGCACCCCCTCTCCACCGGCCCCACCAGCCAAGTGGGATGATCTGGAGGGTGAGGAATAGATCATGTCCCAATAGGGAAGCAGGGACCAAGGGGCAAGATGGCCAACTTTGGAGTCACCTGGGGACTGATACCCAGGTCTACCTGCCACCTACAAGCTCTGTGACTTTGGTCAAATCATAGCACCTCCCTTAGCCTCCGTCTTCTCACCTACAAACTGGGGGTTGGTAGGAAGGTTGAGGGAGATATAAAGGAAGTGGATGCTTATAAAATGCAAGCTGGCAGCCGGGCACAGTTGCTCACACCTGTAATCCTAGCACTTTGGGAGTCCGAGACGGGCAGATCACAAGGTCAGGAGTTCAAGACCAGCCTGACCAACATGGTGAAACCCCATCTCTACTAAAATGCAAAAAATTAGCCGGGCGTGGTGGCATGTGCCTGTAATGCCAGCTACTCAGGAGGCTGAAGCAGGGAAATTGCTTGAACCGGGGAGGTGGAGGTTGCAGTGAGCTGAGATCATGCCACTGCACTGCAGCCTAGGCGACAGAGCGAGACTCTGTCTCAAAAAAGAAAACGAAAGAAAATGTAAGCTGGCTTCCCCTTCCCCAAAGCAGGGAAGAGAAGGCCCCCTAGGGACCCTGATTCCTACTCAAGTGCTCTTCCACCTCACACCATAGTCACTCCCTCCAGCTGTGGCTGCCTGCCCACTCCGCACTCCACACTCCCCAGTACTCCTTGCTTTGCCGTCTTCCTCCCGGGGAAGCCCAGGCAGCTCTCTACCAGGCACAGGGCTCCTTCACCTGCACATTTCCCTAACACACGTGCTTCTCTCCCAAAGGGACATTCTCCGGGTTGGGGTCACTTTGGCTGGCCACCAGAAAAAAATCCTGAACAGTATCCAGGTGATGCGGGCGCAGATGAACCAGATTCAGTCTGTGGAGGTTTGACATTCACCTGCCTCGGCTCACCTCTTCCTCCAAGCCCCGTCCCCTCTGCCCCACGTGCGCCGGCCCTCCTGGTGCTTCATCCACTGCAGGGCCAGCCACCCGCCAGGAGGCCACGGGCCACGGGAAGAACCAAGCGGCACCAGCCACGAGACATCACCAAGAAAACATGCAACTCAAGCGACGGAAATAAAAAGGGAATGGGAAAAAAGAAAACAGATCCTGGGAGGGGGCGGGAAATACAAGGAATATTTTTTAAAGAGGATTCTCATAAGGAAAGCAATGACTGTTCTTGTGGGGGGATAAAAAAGGGCTTGGGAGATTCATGCGATGTGTCCAATCGGACACCAAAAGCAGTTTCTCTCCAACTCCCTCTGGGAAGGTGACCTGGCCAGAGCCAAGAAACACTTTCAGAAAAACAAATGTGAAGGGGAGAGACAGGGGCCACCCTTGGCTCCTGTCCCTGATGCTCCTCTAGGCCTCAGTCAACAACCAAGTGCCTGGAGGACAGGACAGATGGACAGGCAGCCACCCCAGGAACCCCTCTGGGAAAATCTATTCCCGCCACCACTGGGCAAACAGAAGAATTTTTCTGTCTTTGGCGAATATTTTAGAAACTCCAATGAAAGACACCGTTTCTCCTGTCGGCTCATGGGGCTGAAAGGGGCTTCTGTCCTTCTGGGTCAGGGAGAACGCGGGGACGCCAGAAAGGTCAGCCTTCCTGAGGATGCCGCCCCCGGGTCTGCAGCTCCAGGTACTATCACGCGCACAGCCCGGCGGCCCGACCCGCCTGGTGCCCGCTCCCGCCAGCCCCCGCCTCAAGGACTGATACTGCAGTGACTGCCGTCAGCTCCAACTGCCGCTGAGAAGGGTTGATCCTGCATCTGGGTTTGTTTACAGCAATTTGTGGACTCGGGGGTATTTTGGTCAGGGTGGTTTTGGTTTAGGGGATTTGTTTGTTGGGTTGTTTTTGTTTTTTGTTTTTTTTTTAATGACAATGAAGTGACACTTTGACATTTCCTACCTTTTGAGGACTTGATCCTTCTCCAGGAAGAAGGTGCTTTCTGCTTACTGACTTAGGCAATACACCAAGGGCAAGATTTTATATGCACATTTCTGGATTTTTTATACCGTTTTCATTGACACTCTTCCCTCCTCCTACCTGCCACCAGGCCTCACCAAAGCCAACTGCCACGGGGCCATCTGGGCCATTCAGAGACTGGAGTGAGATTTGGGTGTGGAGGGGGAGGCGCCAAGGTGAAGGAGCCTTCCACTCCAGGACTGTTGACGGAAGTGACAGATTGAGGAGGAAGTGGGCTCTGAGGCTGCAGGACTGGAAGTCCTTGCCCACTTCCCACTCTCCTGCCCCAATCGATCTAGTACTTCCCAGGCAAACAGGCCCCTTTGAGGCTCCTGAGTGCCCTCAGACGGCCAAAACCCAGTTTTGCCTCTGGGAGCCTAAACCAGGCTGCATCGGAGGCCAGGACCCGGATCATTCACTGTGATACCCTGCCCTCCAGAGGGTGCGCTCAGAGACGCGGGCAAGCATGCTCCTTCCCTTCCCTGGAGAGAAAGTGTGTGATTTCTCTCCCACCTCCTTCCCCCCACCAGACCTTTGCTGGGCCTAAAGGTCTTGGCCATGGGGAAGCCCTCAGCCAGGGATCTGGCCACAGACTCCCTCCTGTGAGCCAACGCAGACACCCGAGCAGAGCAATCAGTTAGTGCATTGAATGGAAATAAACACTTTAGTTATAACATGACCCCTGTTCTCTGTAAGTTCTGAGGGAGACCCTGGCACCCTTGGGAAACGTGTGGCCCAGGTTGCTCTTCTAAGCCCTTCCTCCCTCAGGCTTCCAGAAAGCCCAGGGCAGAGAAAACATATGGAGAACGACAGCTCCACGTGGCCTCTCTGGCCCTGGCTCGTCAAAAGCACAGGCAACAAAGGAAGTGAGTTGGAAGTGGCTCAGAACTCTTCGCTGCCCTGGGTATCAGGGTGAGCCCCTGCAGGTACATAAGGAGCAAAGAATTGACGAGGGTGCACTTGGAAGAGGGTCCGGGTGTCAGGTGAACTGTGACAGTGGGAATGTGAGGGTCTTAGAGTGCTCATGGACCCCCAGGCAGAGCCACGGGTATGATCACCTTATCCAGGCCAACTCTGGTTTTCTCTGTGCAGATGAGCTCCTGCTCACATTAAAATCAGAATTCTCCACGTGGCAGGAGGAGGCAGGGAGATGAGGTGCCATGGATATCAGGTCTGGCTGAGAAAGGGGAGCCAGGGAGACTACCTCTCAGGACCTTTCCCAGATCCGAGGAGATGGCCAGTGAGAAAGATTTGGGCCACAGGCAGCCAGCTAGAAGCGCCACGGTCAGAGTGAACATCCAGCACAACCCAGCCTGTCGTCTGTCACTCACCTGTTCCGGGAGCCTGAGCTGCAAAGGGAAGGAAGGGATTAGAGAGAAGAGTGGGCCCCCCATGGGGACAGCAGGGCGAGCCACAGGGATAGCATTGGCAGGTTTCCCACAAACTGGCCGGCAGTGGCCCACTGGCCTTCACTTTGTGCCCCAAAGGTGCCCCGCGCGGGTGGCAGCTGTCTCGGCACACAAGGTCACCTTCTGGCGAGAGCTGTCCTGATGCTCTTTAGATTAGTTCTGTCTCCCCAGCCCACCCCCCAACTGCTCTGGGGCCCCACATGGGGCTGGCAGTCAGTGCTTCCCGTCAGATGGCTTCCTGTCCTAAGCCGCTGGGCTGGTGACCACTAGCCAGCATGTCTGCACCTCCACCCTCCAGGGCCGAGGTCCTCAGTGGCCATGGCCCCCTGCACGCCTGCTTCCCAGAGCACAGGTGCTACCAGACCTCTGTGTCTCCACTTCAGGGTAACAAACAGATGTCACTGTGACTGTCCCAGGGGTACAGACGCTGCTCACATCCTTCCACCCACCCACCCCACCCGCTACTGGGGCAGTCGCCCCGCCCCAACCTCTTGCTTGCTGCTCAGTGGGGAGTGGCAGGCCATGCTGCCAAGCGCCTTCCACTTAACACCACCCGCTCGCCCAGGCACACAGCTCTGAGCCACCCGCTGCCTGGTTACTAATCCTTTCCTGGCTCAACCTCCCCAAGTGCCAGCCCCCGCCTGCCCAGCAGTGTTAGGGGAGTTTCCGGCTGCTCTGCACACAGTTGGTACTGCAGGAAAGAAAGCTGCCTTGTAAACACAGGCCAGGGCACCGTGGAAATGGGGACCAGCTGCTCTGGGAGGGTACGGCTAGCAGAGCTGTACAGGGCCAGGCTGGGTAGGAGAGAGTCATGCTACCCACCCCCACCCCTACTGCTATGAAGCCCCCAGAATGGGTCATTGTTGGTGCTCAGCAGGGAGAGGTCCCTGGAGGATGATTTCACAGTATTAACTGGGAATACTCAGGCAGACCAATCAGAACGGATGATGGCCTGAGTGCTGGACCAGAGGCCTCAGGGCAGGGACCCGGGTGGCGGGGCAGTGGGAGACACTTAAGGGACTCAGGGCTGTGGCTGTTTACTAAACAGCAGTACCTCTTACTCAGATGGCACCAGCTGAACTTCCCCCAGCATTTCTAGTTGGTCCCCACCCTGCCACCATCTAGGGGCTTCTCTGCCACCACCTTGTGAGCAGTCGCTAGCCTCACACTCCTCTCCCATCAGGGGCTCATCTCTAGAAGGCTGGGAGCTTCCACCCTGCCCAGTTAATCCTCCTGCCTGGCTGAGGCACAGGAAGGACCCAGGACCCAGACCACCACCCACCCCAGGGCTGGGCCCTGGGCCACACCTGGCTCGCTCCAGGGCCCCTGTTGTTTGAAGATGGTGCCGAAGGCTGGAAGACTGTTGCTGGGGAAGATAATGTAAATGCATTCAAAAGACAGGGTACCACATGATGCTAGGGAAAGTGCAACCCCACCCCAGGGTAGCAGCCTGCTCCTGTCACTAGGGATGTGGATCTGGGGAGACAGTTCCCCTCACTGAGCCATCTGTAAAATGAGAGCATTGGACTGCGTGAGGCAGGCTGTGCAAAACACTTACACACCTTAGTCCCATGAGGAAGGAGTATTCCCCCTGCATATTTGTGGGGGAAACAGGCTCAGAGGGATGAAGTACTTTGCTTAGGATAACACAGCCAGGAATGAGCAGAGCAAGGCCATGAGCTTTGGTTTTTCTGTTTCCGATGCCTCCTCTACCATGCTCAATTAGATGACAAGAAACAGTTGGTGTCTCATGCTGGCCAGTAGGAGAAGAGAAAGGTCACGTGGGCTGGGGCTGTCAGGGAGGGCTTCATGGAGGAGGCTGTCTTGAAAATGACAGAGGTCAAAAGAAAGATTACTCCAAGGTGCAGCTGCCAGAATGATCCAACATAGTGAGGAGTTGTGTCTGGATAGGCCAGTGGAACGGGGGAAGTGAGGGTTGATATAAGTGGAGGTTGAGGTAGTTCCAGCATGATGTACAGTCCAGCCACAGCAGGTTCTTGAGCAGGAGAGTAGCATAGTGAGCATCAGGTTCTAGGAAGAAGCACCAGTTCATCCATCAGATGGGGCAGGATGCCTCCCAGCTACTCCTCTCCCTGAGAAGGAAGAGCTCCCAGAGCGGCCCTCATTTATTTCAGAAGCCAGGCCCTGCTGCTTCAGTTTCCATCCTCACTGACGCAGATAATCCAAAGAGTCACTTCAGCTGCTTGGAGCAGCAGGGTTGGGTCTTGTGCTACCTGATTCTTAATTCGGCTGATGTCTACCCCATTTCCTCCAGGCTTCTCTAGAGGTGGCAGGGGTGAGGTGGGGAGACAGCTGCCAGGCACCGAGGGAGCTGAGCCTGGTGGGGGCGGAGGCGGGTGTGTGGGTGGGCATGAGCAATTGCTCAGGAAACCCATCCCTGCCTGGTCACCCTAGCCCTGGAGAGATCACCCAGATGTGTTGGAATGGGTCTGGGGTCCTGTCTTTTCCAATAATGTTTCCTGGGGAAACCCAGGTTCCAATGGTTTCCTGGGGAAACCCAGAGGGAAGCTCAGGGAGCCCCCACTGTGCTGTGCAATGCTACACACACATGCGAATGCACCATCAGGCGGCCTTGACCCAGCCTTCTGCAAAATGATTTCTGCCATCAAACTTAGGGTGGAGAATGGTTTTGCAGCCGCGCGTTTTTCCTTCAGAGAAACTAAGGTCAGAGTGTTGGCTACAGAAAAGGACTTAGCCTTTGTCACATAACAGGAAAGAGAGTCGGCTCAGGGCACACCCCCTCGGAGGCTAATCTCAGGAGGTTGGAGCCACAGGGATTGCAATAATCGCTGAATACTTACCATATGCCAGGTGCCAAAGCATTATCCTCTCCACTTTACAAATAAGGAAACTGATTCCCAGAGTTGATTCCCAGAAGATTCCAAACAGGCCATCTGTCTGCAGTCCTTCCTTCCCACCTCCTGGGATTTCTCAAAATGTTTGCCATCTCCCACCTGTATCAGAATCTCCTAGGGTATTTATTGTTTAACTTGCAGACTCCTGGGCTCCACCCCAACCCCCTAAATCAGAATCCCTGCGGTTGGGCCCAAGAGTCTCCATTTTTGACAAGCTCCTCCAGGAGATTCCTCCAGACGCTGAAATCCTCACTTGACTTCCCCCACAACAAACTGCCCTGATGTCTGCAGAGAGAGGGTCTGGTGTAGACAGGGATTAAGAAAAAGCAGGACATTGTCAGATAGGATGCCCAAACCCAGACACAGATTAGGACCCATGAAGTAGGGGGTAGAGCTGACCCTCAGGAATGTGCCCAGACTGAGCTAAGCTTTCAGGAAAATTAGAAAAACCTTCAGACCCAGAGTCTCTCTGAGTTTAGCTTCACAGCATGGAGGCTGCCTTGAGAAAGCTGATATAACAAGAAGGAGCAGCAATTTAATACTTTGGACGGGGCCCAGCAGCCCACTCAGGGCCACCCTGGAAGACCCCACAGACCCCAAGGCTATGGTCCAGGCCTGCTCACTCAACACCTGGCCAGGTGGGGCAGGCACAGGCAGAGTGGGGCTTCCAGTTGGACCTAGAGCTACAGATGCCCCTCACCACCACCACCAAGCCCAGCCACCCAGACTAAGACACGGCTTTCTCCGGAGGAGAGAGAGAGCAAAGGCCCTGTCTGTACCCAAGACCTAATGGCCCCTGTTGAAGGAGAGGGAGCAGGAGAGGGAGGAGGGAGGAGGTCACAGCCAGGACCACATACACTCTTGGGGGCCCTGCTGAGACTGCAAGAGTCAAGAATTCTAAGGTTCCACAGGTGAAAGATTCCAAGATTCTCGGATTGCAAAGCCCCGCCATTCTAAGATTCCAATGGAACGATTCCATGTTTCTAAGATTCCATCACACTATGATTCTATGCTGCTAATTCTTGAAATTTCGAGTCTCGTTCATTGCTGGTCCCCAAACCTGTGGGCCCTAGCATTTTTTAAAAGCACAAAAAAAAAAAAAAAAAAAAAAATTCCTGGCAATTTTGTATTCAGATGCATCCACAGAACCAGGCATGATCCACTGCACCCAGCCCTGAAGACATATTTTAATAAGCTGTTATTTTATTTATGGGAAAGAGAGTCTTTTTTAAAAAAAAAAAAAA